CCAAGACCATTACGACTTATTTTTCGCCGCCCCAGCTTTGCGGCAACCTTCTCCTCTAGTAACACAAAAACGCTGCAGATATTTTGCGGAATCAGTCGTGCGGGGCTGATCCAGGGAACAGTCGATTTTCGGCATCAAAACTAGTAGTCCCCCAATAAATAGCTAGCGCCAAGAAAGGACATACAATTGGCTGTAGTGAATTAGCGTATAGGTGCTGTAGATCTCGCGGACGATCACCGCGCTGGTCATTTTTCATATGAGCAAAGAACACTCTCAGTGAGCCACCGCGCCACTTCATACGGTAATGTCTAATATCAATTGCGTTCGCTTAGCGACACATGAGATTCCACGAGAATATCATGTACATCCGAGCAAATTGCGTCACTGCCTTTCAGCTTCAGCAGATGATCACAGAGAAGCTCATACAATTCAAATGAAAGAAGATTAATTCCAACCTTCACATGACTGACACAGTGAGCTTGGGTCGTGGGTAACTGACGATTTAGGCCTTTAAAATCTGTTTCAACTCATTTCGCTTGGCAGACCCCATTAAGCATCCATAGTCACGATAGATCTTAAATAGTAATGAGTGTTGAGCGCTGAGTAAGTAAGCAACGGGCCATTAGATTTTTGAAGTGTAAGAATCCACGTTTCGACTACCCCCTACGTCCAGCACATCAGAGCACATACGTGTGTCACCATGCTTTCGGATAAGAAGAGGCTTGACACACTGTCGCAGCCGCTTCATCGAGCGCCCAACCGCTTCTCCGATGCGTGCTTCAATTGCGCAATATGCCGATGGTCCATTAGCACCATGAGATGAACCGACAGTAGGAGTGAAGTACACAGCTCGCGAGCTCAGGGAGCATGTGCTACCTCTTATGAGCTCTGCTTGGCGCTTAAGTTCAGCAAGTCTACATGCTTGTGTGCTCTCCATCGCAATCGGTTTATACCACTACTAGCCCAATGGACCAGTTGTTCTGAAAATCAGGGGAATACGGCTTTTGGGTAGCTTCTAGCATTTGTATTGGGTTTTGTATGGAATCGGCGATCCAAGCGATTACGGTTGGAAAAAAATTCACGACATTTAGTCCTGTACTAAGCCTCATACTTGTCCGGTCCGGAAAAGAAATACCAATTCACATGGCAACACGTAACTCAAAAGATAGTTGCTTTATCGAAGCCGTAAAACTATCATTCAAAAGCTTCTACCTAGGACTTGCCTACAGTTTTTTTCGTGGCTGCACGAAAAAACCTTATAACAGGGTACTTATGCAGGCGAAATTTGAGTACCTAACGAGTTTTTTTTTCGCAGCGTCTCTATTTAGAGTCATTACGCACAAAAGGACATTTTGTTGAAGAGCTTTTATTTTAAACCTGATGTTCGGCTTCGCGAGCATTCAGCTTCACGAAATTGTACACTGAACGGTTGTTACTCGCTATCCAAACAATTGAGTTTTTCACTGGTTAAATTGAAATACGTCAAACAGTGTTCGAATCTAAATAATCTCAACCAATCGTCCAAGGCTTAATTTTAGTGGTAAGATTTATTTAGTGCTTTGCTATAAATTAGAGAAACTGAAGAACGTCACATACTGTACCTCACAGAAGAAATACGTAACAGATAGATTGCCATTCGAAGAA